GAGGGGGAGGGGGGAGAGGGATTGCTTAAACAAATGTGTGAGAATGGGTAGGGAAAGGGCGCAGGCATGATAAGATAAATATTTAAAAGATAAAATCAGCAAGAATTGGTCATTAATTTAGCACAAGTTAAAGCCCAAGAACATTTTTTGTGCCTGTTAATTATAAAAATCAATCACTTAATTTCTAAATACTTAATCTGTTCAAGTAAAATTTCTCTCTACCCCACTGTATAATGATGTTGTTTATATTAACTTTAGAGATTAAAATTATTTTAATGTACTTTGGCCAGGCACAAGGGTTAGCAGCTTTAGTTTTTCTTTACAAGTTATCAATTAAAAAATAACAGACAATAAAATTCAATATCAAAGAGCTGCCAGAATTTACTACACTTTCGTTTCTTGTGCTCAATCCAGAAAGTCCTCTCCCTTTGACCTTATTGGCTATAATGCTTAGCTGGCTCTGACAAATGCAGTTTACTTTTCCTGGTTCAAAGCAACTTATTAAGTCATTTGAGGTTAAGTCATTTGAGGTTAGTCACTTCCAACCATATTTCTTAGCCCTGTGGTCCTTAGGGAAGGAAAGTCTTAAAATCTCTAATCCGCTTTCATGCCCTCATCTCCTTACTATCCTGAAACTTGTCTCCCAAGATTCTTCCAAACAATCACCTTCCTCCCACTTTTCACTATGCATCCTAAAACTATTGGTCCAATGTTAATAAATACCCCATCTCCTCAAAATTTCCATCTGTTTCAGTGGACACTTGACTATTAAAACTCAGTTTACCTGCGTGAAGTCCAGCTCCCTAACCATACCTCTCTTCCCCTGGATCCCTCTTCACATTCAGGAAAGACACTGAATCTTGGTTTTACATCATTTACCTTCACCCTAAAGCCTGCCATAATCCTAAAATAGTCCAACATCCTGGCAGACCAGCAAACAGGGCTGTGGATCTCAGAAGTCTTAAACTCCAAAACTCAATCTCTGGCTGCATCTCACATATCCTTTACAGTTCTCTCACGCTGTCACACCATAACAGATCTTTGATCTAGAAAAAGCCTTGGTGAAATTTTCTCTCAATCCTTTAGCTTCCTTCTGGCCTCTTTTCTCTTTATAGCCCAGGTCACAGGACTGATTACCGGAACAAGCAGTTCCCTATCTTTTCACTCTACAAAACCCAGCCATCTTTAATGAATGTTCCTCTGCCCTAGTTGTATTTTAGAGATAGAGATCTATTATTTTTTCTGAATTTACGACAAACTGTCTTAACCCCAATTTAGGCACTAGTTCATCTTTCTTCTACTGATTAAAAAGACCATATTTGTCATTACTAACTTTATATGCCTATGAACTGCAGATTTTAAACTCTATTCTAATCCATTAGAATAGTTTACATAACCCCATGCTAATTCTATGTTGTTTATTTAGGAGCTGTTAATTCTTCATATTTATTTTGGAAGTGTTAATCCTTCCTGTTTCTTTTACATCCCTATGTACAAACTGCCTTTAAAGCACGTTTACAGGAATTACATTTAGTTTGCTAAGCCTGTAATGACATTGGATCTATATGGAAAATTCTGTTCCTTTATTGCCAGTGTCAAAGATAAACGAAGCTGGACCTTAGTTAAAGTGTTGAAAACAGATTTTATTCAGTAGCTACTGACAGTAGGGGAAAGAGTTGAGCTCCTTTCCAATGTGTACAGAGGTGACTGGGTGTTTTAATGGAAGAATGAGGGAACAGGGAGGACTGAGTGGGGACTAAAGCAGAGTGAGGAAAGGGAAGCATTAGGAAGGGTTGTAGACACATGGTTAGGCCAGCTGTGGCTGGTGGCTGGCAATTAACTAAGGTAGGATTTTATCTTCCCACTGAAACTGGGAGACAGTGAGTGGCCCCATCCTTCCTGATTAATTACATTTCAAAGGAATAGCTTTCAGGTCCTATGGAAAAACACCCCCAAAGTTCATATCTGATCAATTTACCCTCTGGTTCAAATCTTCAATGGCTTCTTTTTGCTTCTAGAAAAAGGACCAATTCTTAGCACCCTTTTCAAGGTCCTACAGTCTGTCCCCTCTCCACCTTTACTCATTCATGATCTGACTTCTCATACCCTCTAGGGCTTTGCACACATTGCTCTCTCTATGGAACTTTAACTAGCGAACTTCTGATGATCCTTCAGGTCCTAATTTAAAGACAATTCCTACACAGTCTCCCCTGACCCCCCCCGCCCCCTTATGTCAGTCTGTTATACAGTTTTGTAACACTGTACTTCTCACTGACAATACTCTGCACAAGGATGTATGCATTCTTGTTCAGAATCTTAATCTCAAAATAAGAGGTAAACTCTATGAGGTCTGGGACCATGTCTGTCTGTCTTGTTCACAACTGAGTCCCTACCTCTTAGACACTGCCACATGGAAGGAACCATTTAATGATTAGTCCATAGACTAATTAGTTCATAGACTAATGATATAGCATACTTTTATAGAACAATCCCCTACTGACACATTAAACTACATTTTTGTGTTATAAAAATCACTATTTAATTTATAAACACACACTCATGAACATGTATGTATGCATATGTAAAGGTACAATTTTAAAATTTATTCAGGTAGATCACATTAACAAAAAAAGTCGGTAGACCATTATTTACCTGCAGGACAAGCTGGAGGTAAGTAGGAACCCACAAGCAGAGATATGGCTGGAGAGTAGCAGTGCTTCAAGTTACAGTTCAAGACTACTGGCTGCTGTCCATTAGTGATTTACAAATGGGGAGATATAACATTCATCTATAGAGACGTACATATTAGGAGATTATTAATGTTATACCATTCTAGGCAGCCGAAGGAAACATTAGTGTGTGATGGGAAACACAGCAGTTAGTCTCCTGACACACTCCCTTGGATCCTCAGGTTGAGAC